CCGGGTCCCGACGGCGACTACTGGTGCTGGACTACAACACGTCTCAACTGTCATGGCGCCCCACGCGGCACGTTGCCAGACTCCAAGACTCCAGCGGCCGGCCAATGATCCCCATAGAACAGCGTGCGTCCCACAGGGCGGCCCGGTGCCGTCACCAGACGCGCCGCGGGCGTGACGTCACTCACCGCGTGTACGGCAGCCGGGTCTCGCAGCCACTGGACGTACATCTCCTCGACGTAGCTGGAGGATGTGCCGTTGATGAAGGGTTCTGCGGCGGCGGCGCTGGCGGCGGCGGCGGCGGCGCCGCGCTCCGGCAGCGGGCCGGGGTGACGAGACAGCGTCGGCAGCTGCCGGCCCCGCCAGCCGGCCAGCTGCAGCTGCAGCTGCCGCAGCGTCCGGGCTCGGTGCATGGCCGGCAGACGGCTGAGGGGGGTGGTCGTCAGTCCCGCACACAGGAGCACAGGCTAGTGATGGAGGCAGGGACACAAGAACAGATGGGGAAACACAGGTATGGAGGCCGAGACAGTGGCATATGCAGGAGTGGTCAAGGACACAACAAAACAGATGCAACCAAAGGCAAGGATGCTGAGACTGGTGCAGTGGTGGTGGCAGAGATGGAACAGGAAGTGAAACACAACAGCAGTAACCAATGGAAAAAACAATACACAGGAACAGAAATTGATATATATATCCAGGGCCAAAAATATTGCCAAGATGAAGGTAACTAGTAAAAAAGATGTAAGAGAAACATAACATGAAACAAACACATAAGGGTAGCTAAAGCCAAAGTCTAAAGCTAAAATCTGTCCCAGAGGCCCAGTTGGTTAGAGCGCCTGCGTTCTGATCCTCCCACCGGTGGCAGGGTGGGCTCCAGTCGCTTTAGGACGCTCCCTATTTGCCCTTGACAGGTATGGCCTGCGGCCGCTAGCGGTCCCGCTAAAGATCAGCTGATGTCAGGGGGTGGGACAGACCCTACCGAGCATTGCGGCATGTTAAGCTTTCGCCACTAAATTCTGCTGTTGCCTGGAATTGTGTGATTGGATGGTGGGGGTCAGGGCTCACACAACAAGCACTGCTTAAAGTGAGCACTGATCCCAGAAATCCATCCATTCAAAGGGTTTGGGTCAAATTTATAAAAAAGAAAAAAACATAGATCAAACAGACAAAGCTACATATAATAATGCACATAGTCTTGTCTCCAGCCCTTGTCAGACACATTCATGTAACATAATAGAAGATAGCCACAACAACATACTTAGATACAACATAACTGTGGCACTGAGTGGAACAAAGCAGTATTGCCATCATTAACAGCTTGGTTAAGCATGAATGCATTTGCTTTTCTACGGAACCTCATCATTCGGAAAGGCCACAATAGGTATGGCAAGGGAAAATGACATGGCAAAGATAACAGCAGTCAACATACAAACTATAAATTGATGGGACTAACAGCTCTGCCTGATAACATGCTTTTTAACTCAAACTGAGTTACCAGCAAGACAATTCTAAAATGAGAACAGCAGCAGTGATGTTCTATTTTCAATGCATATCCCAACTGCCCAGGCAGCCAATTTGTATTATTTTCTCAAGCACTGTCCACACTCCCTCCAGAATTGCCTTTGCACTCCCAATTCTGACTGAGACCCCCTTTTTAAATATTACTAAACTTTGGAAGGAGGCTATACATTACACAAATCCCCCATTTTTGGACATGCTTTGGATCCTAATCACATGCTGCTCAGGTATAAAATGACTTGGTAAATGATGCAAATATTTTAATGACATCAAGTAAGGTGTGGCAAACCCATTGATAAAAATATTTTGGGGTTGATAGGCTGCCAAACAGTCTCAGCCCCAAAACTTTATGCAAATTGAAACACCTCTTTATTGGGATTCCCAACAGTGGTATTCCTAATATTTTCAGTTCAGCTGCATTTATATAAGAACTTTTTAACTGTTACCATTTGGAACACCTTCCATCTTACCACAAAACCAAATTTCCTTACAGCAAGAGTCCTTTTTTACCAAGCCACGCATACAACCATGTCCCCTCATGAGAAACCAGATGTGTCAACCACATGCATGAGGCAAACAGCTTATATGTCATTGCATGCAATATTTTTAATGATGGTACCATAACAGTGTAAATGAAAGCAATGAAATGGCAAATTAAACATATGCCAACTAGGCATTGTCCTACTTTTCCAAATCCCAAGACATTGACTGCACATCCATTACGAAATCAATGCTGAAAAATTTGTGCTGTTCCTCTAGACTTGGGGTCACAACATAATTGTGGGCCCAGCATTTTGATAGCCGATGAGCATTAGCCTATTGAGAGCACCCAATGAAGTATGACGGAAGTTCCCAATGAATTTTTCGAGGATGTTGAAGCGACAGCCAGATGGCTTCCCCCTTACAAGTATCACAACAAGATCAGTTAGGCCCATATGCCTACTTACCGGTTATAATATGCTAACCAGCTGCAAAGCGATACTTGAAGCGGCCACCTCCCGCGCACCGCACAGACCCCTCCCCGGTCGATTTCGTAAACAAACTGACTGCCTAGTGTCTGTGAGCTGAAACGGTACCTCCTGGCAGGCGTCACACCAATTGCGGCGAACATAGCAAACTGCGCCATTCTGGGAACAAGTGGAGTATCATTTAGTTTTAACTGGAGCTTTCAACGACACTGTACAGCGATTTGTTACCAGCATGAAGCCAGGCAACGATGGTAAGCCATGCTTACGTGTATGTCATTTTGAAATTGGATGACGGTGAGAACTGGACCAACCAAGAGGATGTGCGTTATGTCGCTTCAGTGACATTCGACGTTATGACATGGAAAACAGGGCCTGAAATCCCCATGATTTTCAATAAATGATTATGTTTGCGTTGGCAAGAAATTCATAGGTTATCCAAGTAAGTTCGGGGACGCCTCAGCGCAGGTCATGATAAGGCACTGTAGGGACTCTTATATGTGAAAGGTAAACCAACCTACAAATTAATGGTATTATTAACATCTGCACCATCTCGAAAATGCAGGAGCAATTCCAAAGCTGCAATGCAATGCCAAATGTTTCCTCAACTTTCGGCGCTAATAGTACGTCATCACAGAAAGTATGACGCCTACGTTGATACCCATTTGTTTAAAATGCAGCGGTCTTTGACGAGGTATTTATGGTTGGCATTTATGATGTAAGAGTGAGACATCATGTGATTTTTCATGACGTCATGATAGCCACACCAGAAGTGCTGGCGCGACGGAAAACTATTCCTTTTTTTACACTTCCACTTACCAGAATTATGCAAGCAATGGTCACCAAAGTGGTTCCAGAACAAATTGTGGAATGGCGTAAAGCTGATATTTGACAGAATGCGAAAGACTGAATGATTTTTGTTGCCATGCAGGGGTTTTGTTGCCATGCATCCAGACGGCGTTCCATGAGGTCATGCCCCCTGTGCTCCCATGACATTTTGATGCCCCTTCAGGGCACTAAATATCTCATGGTGAAGTCGCACAAAAATGTTGATTTTTGGCCAACATCATCTTTGTTTCAAGGGGCATCACAACTGACCACACAATTTTCATTTTTGAGAGGCACCAGATTCCTGGGCCACAGCATAATGATACCCAAAACCTTCAT